ATGAACATGTGGAAGAGGGTAGGTGGTCATGGTGTCTGAAATGGTCTCATGGGAAACTTCAATATTGTTAACATGATTGTTTCTAAGCAAAGTTTTTACAACTCTCGCCTGGATAAGGCCAACTAACTAAGTAGTAGTTACCATTTTTTTACATTGTTGCTGTAGATGTGTGAGTGTGTGCGCGAGCGAGTGTGGGATTGTCGTGGGCCCGACTTGCATATTGTGCGGTGTTGGTGTTTTTTTTTTTCAAACTTGGCAATGTGCATTTTTTCCAATTTTTGTTTTCTATTTCGAACCAGACGTCGCCGTCTGCTGTTACTTTGTCATTTTTTCCGTTGTTGTTGTTGTATTTTTTACTCCTTTATTACCCAGTATTTAGTTGACCTCATTTTTTCTGGTGGTGTTCTTGTCGTTGTTAATTTATATGCTTACGAGGGTCATTGGGTGGGGTTAGTCATTTTGCCGGAATTTAGGTCAACAAAAATGAAACGAATAAATGCAATTCATTCGATAAATATATTAATTGTCGTAATGAATAAAAAATTGTGAAACATTAGAAAATTTTACATGAATGGAGTTAAAAAAATATTCCAAATACAAATTTGGATTTTTTGAAATAATTTTATTTTTTTAAGTACTATAAAGGTGTGGTTCTGTCAAATACTAACAAAATAGACGCAGATTTTTAAAAATTAATTTCTTTAGGTATTAAAAAAAACCACGCCCATAAGAAGATTGGTGAATGACTATTAAAAAAACACGCCTATAGAAGGTCGTTGAAACGTACTTTACTTAGCTGGCTTGTGACAGAACTTTCGTTCCATAAGCCAAGCTTAAAAAAGATTTCCTGGCGTGTCCGTCTTTTGCGCAGTTTTTCCAATTTGAAAGACCATATTCGGCAATGTTGTCTTCCACTTGATCTTTCCATCTTATTCGTGGCCTTCCCCTTCTGCATGAACCATCAGTTGGTTCGCTTTTATATGCCTTCTGGGCTGGTGCATCTTCATCCATTTTCACAACATGACCTAGCCAACGTAGTCGCTGGAGCTCAATATGTCTAACAATGTCGATGTCAGAGAATAGCTGGTACAACTCATGGTTCATTCGACGGCGATATTCACCGTCAACGCAGATCATCCCCATAGATCTTTCGGGGAATTTTTCTCTCAAACACTCCAAGAGTTGCCTCATCTGTTTGCGTAAGTACCCATGCTTCAGATCGATATAACAGCATGGGTATTATCAGCGTCTTGTGGAGTGTGAGTTTGGTATGGCGGGAGGTGGCCTTGCTTTTGAGTTGTTTGCTCAGACCATAGTAGCATCTGTTATCCTTCTCTGAATGTCAAAACTGATGTCATTTATGGCGGTACCAAGGTATATAAAATCTTTGACCACCTCGAAGTTCTCAAGTTCCACAGTTGATCCGAGTCTACTGAACGTCTTGCGCTTTGATACCATAAGCTTGGTCTTCTCGCCGTTTGCTGCCATACCCACTATGGCAGACTACTTCTCAATTTGTTCAAAGGTGGCTGTTATCGCTCTCAATGTTCGACCCATTATGTCGATGATATCGGCGTAGGCGAGTAACATGTATTGTTTGATGTACAGAGTGTCTTTTCTATTCAATTTTGCTTCCCGTATGAACTTTTCCAGCAGGATGTTAAAAAGGTCACTTGACAAACTATCACCTTGTCTGAATCCTCGTTCGGTATTAAAGGACGACGAGAGGTCCTTTCCGACTTTAACTGCTGATCTTGTGCCAGTTAAAGTTATCATGAATAGCCGTATTAATTTTGCAGGAATGCCAAACACAGACATGGCTTTATACACCTCTGAACGGATAGGGCTGTCGAATGCGGCTCTATAGTCAAGGAATTGGTGAAATGTGTCGATGGTTTTTTCGTGGGTTTTTTCCAGGATTTGGGGCAGTGTGAAAATCTGGTAAATGGTGGATTTGCCAGGTCTGAAGCCGCATTGGCTTCAGTCGTTCACACAGTACGCTGGATATCACTTTATAGGCGATGGGAAGGAGACTTACTCCTCTATAGTTGGCACATATCGTCTTGTCTCCTTTTTGGTGCACTGGACACAGGATGCTGATGTTCTAATCATTGGGCATGCATTCTTCTAACTGATTGTACCAATCAGCTGATGCATGCTCCTTACCAGCATCTTCGACTTGTAACCAATCGACATCTGCTGCTTTATTATTCTTCAGCCAATTGATTGCTATTCTGACCTCATCCTGGCTAGGTGGTATACACTCTATACCGCCATCCCTTATTGGTTCTGGGGTATCCTCTTCACCGCTACTATTTGATACCAGAAGTTTTTCAAAATCCTCCTTCCAGATCCTCAGCACGCTGTTTGTATCTGTCACCAGGTTTCCTTCTTTATCTCTACAGGAGGATGTGCCTGCACCAAAGCCTTCGGTTTGGTGCTTTACCCGTTGGTAGAATTTTCATTCTGACTCCTGTACACCTCGATTAGCCCACGCTCACGTTTTTCTTGCTCTTTCTTCTTTTTTCGGAAAATACGTTTCCTTTTCTCCCGATAATTCTCCATCTCATTACGTGTTGCTGCTGTCTGCAGAGTTGCCTATACGCTGCGTTTTTCATATCAATACCATTACGACACTCCTGATCGTACCACGGATTTCTTGATGGTGGTCTTTGGTACCCAAGTGTTGCTTTTGCTGCAGTTTGTAGGGAGTGGACAATTCTCTGCCATTGTGCTTCTATATTATTATCTGGACAAGGGGTGCTTTCGTCAAGCAGGTGGGTAAGTTGAGCGGAGTAGGCTTCTGCTATCTGTTGTGTTTGCAGCTTTTCGACGTCAAATTTCCGTGTTACATTAGATCGCACCTTTGCTGCTACATTAAGAAGGGTGCATACCTTGGCTGCCACAAGGTAATGGTCCGAATCGATATTCGCTCCACGGATCGATCGGACGTCTAAAACACTGGATGAATGCCTTCCGTCTATCACAACATGATCGATTTGATTTCTCGTTACTTGATCAGGAGAGACCCATGTACCATGTTTTTGTCTGATGTTTCTTCATGGAAGCTGAATTTTCCAACGGTGGTGCCAAAGATATTTTCCCTGCTGTCATATGCTGTTTTTAGGCGCTCGTAAAATATGTCTTTGGTCTGTTAAATTTTATCTTCGGTCGGAGCATAGGCACAAACCAGACTGATGTAAAAGAACTTCGCTTTTATACGGATTATAGCAATTCGCTCATCTACTGGAGTGAACCTGCATACGAGGTCTTTTATTCTCCTCTTAACCATAAATCCGTAGCCAAATTCATGTTTCGTTTCATGGCAGCTATAATACAGGGCGTAATCATCTGATTTACTTACGTCAGTCCCATTCCATCGCATTTCCTGTAAGGCAATAATATCGGCTTTGTACTTCTTTAATACATCCGCAAAAGCGAACACTGCGCCTGTTCTGTACAACGTGCACACATTGCAGATTCGCAGAACGTGGTCCTTTATACGTTTGCGAGGGTCGTCAACATTAGGTGGGTTTGTTTTTTTCTTTCCTTGCTTTTTCATACTAGGTTTGGTTTTCCGACGCCTTAACCAATTTTTTTATAGTTCTTATGGGTGAACTCGCGGCACATATTAGCTCACTATTTCATCGGGTGATGAAAATAGCTACCCCAGATGGCACCACTCGGAAGTCAGTGTCCACAATTGAGATGAAAGAGGGACTTTGCCATTTTACTTGAAATCTATCATCCCCTACTCCGTTCAAAAAATGTTTTTAAAAAATCCACGCCAATAGAAAGTCGGTAAAAATATCTTTAAAAAATTATTAATTATTAAATAGAAGGTCATTGAAAAAATATTTTTTTTTCAAAATCCACGCTACAATTTTTTAAAATATTTTTGAGAAATCCAAAAATGTTTTTATATAATTAAAAAACCACGTTTTTTTATATAAAAATAATTAAATCCTCACCAACAGTTCGTTTTTATACCCTTCACCACACTGTGGTACAGGATATTATGGCTTTGTGCATATGTTTGTAACAGGCAAAAGGAAACGTGATAGACACATGGTTCCTTTTGAGAATATGAATGGAATCACTTTCTGAGTCGATTTACGCATGTCCCTCTGTCCGGTCGCCCGTCTGTCCATGTTAAATTGTAAACAAAGTACAGGTCGCATTTGCGATCCGATTTGGATGAAATTTGGCACAAGTCACTTATGTGGCCCAAGGACGAACCCTATTGAAATTGAAGAAAATCGGTTCAGATTTATATATAGCTCCCGAAATTTTGCATAGGGTACTGAACTAGGTCCAGAATGATGTGTGCTAACTTTCATGAAAATCGGTTCAGATTTAGATATAGCTTCCATATATAGTTTTGTCCGATTTTATGTAAATTGTGCACCAAAGTCCCTATATATCTTTCGATTTGCGCGAAATTTTGCATAGTGTACTGAATTGAGTCTTGAATAACATGTTTCAAGTTTCAAGTAAATCGGGTTAGATTCATATATAGCACCCATTTATATTTTCGTTCGATTTAAGATAAATGGGGCTACAAAGTTCCTATATATCTATCGATTTACACGAAATTTGACATGAGGTACTGAATTAGGTCCAGAATGTTGTGTGCTAAATTTCGTGAAAATCGGTTCAGATTTAGATATGGCTCCCATATATACTTTCGTCCGATTTGAAATAAATGGTGCACTAAAGACCCATAGCTAGGCCGATTGACACAACGTACTGAAATTAATATAAATTAATGACATGTCTAGGAATTGATGTTAGTCGGTCACATATTTAAGTTCGTCCAATTTCACGTCAATGTTCCTTCGAACAGGCGACGTCTGTTAGTTTACATATGTAGAATACACCCAAAGTGGTGAAGGGTATCATATAGTCGGCCCAGTCCGACTTAACTACTTTCCTTACTGGATTTTTGAAAAGAATTTCAAAAATACTTATCATCCCTACTTCTTTTACCATCTTTCCAGCTCTTATTGTTCGATTTCTAACCAAACGTTATATAGGCGAATATGATCATCAAACAGGTGGGCCAATCGAAACAATTTATCCATAACATCGTCACGCTTAAACTAAAGAAAAAAATCGGGTTTTTTAGTGTCGCTTGCAAGCTCTAAATATTTTATAGCATTTTTTACAATAAAATTTTATATCCTTTTAAAATGCAATGTATGTGAAGTATATGCCACTAACAAGAATTTAAAATTTGCGTTAAATATTGTATGTGTGTGTGTTAACGATGTGTGGGTAAATGTCCTTGCCACACATACGAGTTTACGTGACAATTATTTCGTTTTTATTCCGTTTATTTATTTATTTTTTTTTTGTTTAATATTCCCTAAGTGGCATGTATGAAGCGCCTCTCGCTTCCAGGAACCTCCATTGGATTTTTTTCGCTTCATTTTTTTTTTGGTTTTGTTTTTAATTCTGTGTGCAAACTATTTCGCACGGCTATGTCCTGTACCTCACTAACCCATTACTGCTGCAGCTAACTTTGTTTTTTTTCTTTTTTTGCTACTTTTATCCATTATGCGGATTTATGGTGAATATCTCTCCACTGTTTTCTATTTTTATAATAATCTATGTAATATTTATTTATGTAATAAACATTTTTTTGTATTTATTCCATGACCGGATTGCGTTACTAATTCCAGAAAATCGATACAAACATGAAGCTTTGGTTGATGGTGAACCGGTGCTGTTTGAATTACTCGACACATGTCCCAAGGTAAGCAGGATATGTATGTGTGTGTGTGTCCAATATATCAACACCATTGGCGCCCTTTATTATAAATAAATACACACACACAATGTGTATGGATGTGCGTTTTTTATGTATTACTAAATTCCTTGTTACCATGGGTAACCTAATCGAGGCTATTTGGAGGAGGGTGAATAATTATTACTGTGCCATACACCATTTTAAGTAGTTTAGTTGGAGGCCATAAATCCGTTAAATTAGTTCATTGATAGTAGCCGTTTATGAAAATGACATTTTAATTAACTATTGCGCGTGAATTAATTTTTATTTAAATGACTAAAATTAATGAGAAACTGGTGGTGTGGAATTTTCAATTCTATTTTTTCAATATTAACTATGTATTTCCAGGAATTTAATAGGCGATGTTAGGGGTGGGGGAGGGTGGGAGAGGTTTTGGAAATTAAGTAATTTGAATTTTACAAACAAAATTGCAGCCTGCTGAAGCAGTGAATTTCTTAAAAATAATTTGCATGTAGTAACTTTAAAAATATTTTTTTAAATATTTTTTAAGGAGTAGCCATAAGCCAGGATTTTTATACTCTACACAACTATGTTGTCAGGGTATTATAGCTTTGTGCAGCCCTAAGAGTTTGTAACGCCGCGAAATATTGGTCCTAGACCCACCTTTAAGTATACCGATCGTCATATCTCGACTAGCTGAGTCGATCTAAACGTGTGTGTCCATCCGTCCGTCTGTCCATTATATATTTTGTAAACACGATACAGGCCTCAGTTATGGGCCAATCTTTACGAAATTTTACATGAAGGATGGGTTCGGGCCGATCAAGACCTGTATTGTTTTTGGTAAAGATCGGTAATATTTAGGGGATGAAATGGACGAAATACTTAATTTTTGTCCGTTTTTCTGGTCGCTCCAGAGACCGCAATTATGGCCCAAACTTCGTGGAATTGTAAATGGAGAAGGTGATCGGACCAAAGAGTGAGCATGCCTGTTTTAATAAAGATCGGTCAATATTTAGCGGGTCAAATGGACCCTGACTTTTGTGTGAAAAATGACAAAATTTGTATTTTATGGCGTATAGATTTACACCTGACGGACATAGACACGAGAAGTTATATCAGTATATCCAAGAGGAGTGGTTGACCTTTAAATTGATATGTATGTACTCGGATGTGGGAGTTACACTTAAATATTTACATGTTCTTACGTACTGAGATATTATTTAGTAACCCATTACCACACTAGAAGGCGGAAATAGAGCTCTGATCGCTTTGAAATTTTCCATTGGGAACGAGGTATTGTCAAGGACCAATGATGATCAGATAATAATTTTGGGAAGAAATGGACCGACAATTTATTATACCCCACACAACTATTTTGTCAGGATATTATAGCTTTGTGCAGCCCCAAGAGTTTGTAGCGCCAAGAAATATTGGTCCTAGACCCACCTTTAAGTATACCGATCGTCATATCTTGACTAGCTGTGTCGATCTAGACATGTGTGTTCGTCTGTCCGTTATAATTTGTAAACGCGATACAGGCCACAGTTATGGACCAATCTTCACGAAATTTTGCATGTGGGACATTGAAGACCCCTATTGTTTTTGGTAAAGATCGGTTAATATTTAGGGGATGAAATGGACCAAATAGTTATGATTTTCGATTTTCTGGTCGCAGCAGAAGCCGCAATTATGGCTCGAACATCGCGAAATTGTATATGGAGAAGGGGATCGGGCCAACAAATAAGCATGCCTGTTTTAATGACACATTTTGTGTGAAAAATGACAAAATTTGTATTCTACAGCGTATATATTTAATCCTGAAGTACATAGATAGACCCGAGAAGTTGGTAGTATATCCAAGAGGAGTGGTTGGCCTTACGTATTCATATATGTATTATTATAAACCCATTACCACACTAGAGGGCGAAAATATAGCGCTGATCACTTTGAAATTTTCCATGAGGATCCAGGTATGGTCGAGGACAACGCCTTTAAATTTCCGTGATGATCAGATACAAATTTTAGGATGAAGTGGACCGACATATTTTTCATTTTTTGTTTTTTTTCGAGTTGATCTATGGGCCACAAATGAAAGCCCAACATCACTACACAACCCACGTTGAAAGGAATCTGGACAAGTAATGAGATGGGCTGTACTGAATATTAGTACTATTTGGTGGCCTCTATACGGTCAAGAGGGTGCAAATATCGCAATATATTGCCCAAGCTCAGAATATAAAACCACAGAAAGTTAGATTTTCGTGGAAGTTGTGTAGGGTATCATATGGACGGCCCCGTCCGACTATTCTGCTCCGCTCACTGGTTTAAAATTATTTTTAATTAGTAGACAGAGGCGTGGATTTTTTTTAAAATATTTTTAAGGAGTAGACAGAGGCGAGGATTTTTCAAAAATATTTTTAAGGAGATATTGATTTTATACCCTTCACCACACTGTGGTACAGGGTTTTATGTCTTTGTGCATATGTTTGTAACAGGCAAAAGGAAACGAGATAGACACATAGTTCCTTTTGAGAATATGCATAGAATCACTTTCTGAGTCGACTTATCCATGTTTGTCCGTCCGCCGTCCGTCCGTCTGTCTGTCCATGTTAAATTGTAAACAAAGTACAGGTCGCATTTATGATCCGATTTGGATGAACGTCGGCATAGGTCATCTATTTGGCCCAAGGACGAACCCTATTGAAATTGGGCAAAATCGGTTCAGATTTATATATAGCTCTCATATATGGTTTCGTCCGATTTTATGTAAATGGTGTACCAAAGTCCTTATATATCTTTAGATTTTCACGAAATTTGGCACAACGTACAGAATTAAGTCTAGAGTCTACACAAGTGGTGAAGGGTATCGTATAGTCTGCCCAGTCCGACTTTACTACTTTCCTTACTGGTTTTATTCATAAGTATCTGTCACCTCACAAGAATCCCTCTTCGTTTCCAGATTACATATTTATTTTGCTGACTTCACAATTATATTAATTTACCCCATGTTGATACTGCAAATATTTGTAGCAAGGTCCTTTGCAACAATTAACACTTTCATTATTCTCATTTCGTATGTGTTCATTTGAGTGTATGTGTGTCACAATTTTTATTGTTATTATGTCAGGATATTGTCAGTTGACCACACATTTTCAATGACATCGACATTTACACTTACACACACCTAGGTAACCATTAAAATTAACAACAACAACACCACTTAAAACAATGTGGGTCAGTTAAGAAAGGATGTTTTTATAAATTTTTTTTTTATTCACACCTTGGGATTTTATTAAAAAAAATTGTTTAGGTTTTCTTAAAAAAACATTTGTTTAAATATTCACATTAAAAATCCATGCCTTAGATTTTCATAAAAAAAAAAAAATAAAAAAATATACGTTTAGGTACTCTTCAAAAAAAATTTTTTTTTTTTAAATACACGACTTATATAGTTCTTAAAAATATTCTTCAAAAATATTGCTCCCTATATATTTCTTAAAAAATACTTTTTTAGTATATAGTATATATTATTTAAAATAAATATTTCTGAAAAAAATCTTAAAAAAAATAATTTCTTAATCCACACAATGTGACAAACATTTGTTGGCCTCTGGTGCGTATAACTATTGCCGTTAAGTATACGCCTTGTTTGTTATTTTTATAATTAAAAATCGCAACATATCGTCACCACTGATATATTGTTAAAAATGATAAATATATATCATCACTTTCCCTTTATCCATGTGTTATGTCCTTTCCAAGGCCGGATGTGTTGACACGGCAAACAAATTGTTCGTTTGGAATGAAGTGAGCAAACAAAAACACGATATGTCTGTGTGTATATGTGTGCCCTTACACATATTTAAGTGTTCTGTTTTTTTATTTTATTCACCCTTTAACCTTAACCCCATTTGTGGCGACATGATGTCATGTGCAAAATAAAAACTCATATTTTTTCTCTCTTTCATTTCTTTCTTGCCCACAGACTGATGACGAATTTCCCAATGCTGCTGAACTGGTACAATGGGCCGATGGTTTGCTGCTAGTCTATTCCATTACCGATCGCAATAGTTTCAATTATATCAGACGTGCCAAATCAGATCTACAATCGGATACACCGGTCCAGTTGGTCGCCAACAAAGTCGATATGGTGCATTTACGTCAGGTCAGCCGTGATGAGGGAGAAATCTTGGCCAAAGATTTCGAGTGTAAATTTAGTGAAGTATCTGCAGCGGATCATGTGGATCAAGTGGCCGAGGTGTTTATGGATTTGTGCAAGGAGGTAGTGGCATCCAAACGTAAATCAAAACAAAGTCTATTGGAACGTATGTTGGGTAGTTCACGACCCTATAGTCGGGGGAAGAGTGACAGTAATTTACCCAAAGAATAGAAGAAGCCTCATCTAACTCAGTCAACCACCTCATCCTCCCACCACACCAAAAAAAGGCAAAGACTTGATTTGTTACGAATTTAAGATTATAAAAATAATACAAAAATGCTCATTAAATAATAAACAAGGAAAAAAATATTTATTGTTGATATTAGTTAATTTTTTTTATTTTCTAAATAAACTTTTTTGTAAATTTTTTTTGTAATAAAGTTAATTTTTATTTTGAGAAAAATAAAAAAATATATCTAATTTTTTATTGTTTTTTTTTTTATTTTCAAATATAAATTTTGTAACGGCCATACAACATTAAAATGGCTTTAGCACAAATGTCCGTATATATTACCAACAGAAAAGCTTTTGATTTACATAAAAGCTTTTATTATTTTTTTAACATTGTATCAGGAGGTATGTTGGGTTTCCACTTTGCTGTTAGCAAAGCGTACCAACGGTCTGTAAAGTAATACATAAGTATGTACATATACTAGTGTGTGTAGCTAATCCCATCCAGTAGAAAATACTCTCTTGAATGACAATTTCGTTGACGAAATAGTCTGAATCGAGTGTACTATGAAACATTGACCGAAACAAATAGAAAATTCTTTCCGAAAGTATATACCAGTAAGGAAAGTAGTAAAGTCGGACGGGGCCGACTATATAATATCCTTCATCACTTTGGGTATATTCAACATTCCATAAACACGATATTCTGCAACTTATAATAAATTGTTCATTTGGTCAGATATAGATTTGCTTCCTACAATGGAACAAAATTATGTAAATCAATTTAATGCAAATATCAATTCGATTGGATAAACATGAGTAGTTTGATGCACCATTTACTAAAAATCGGACGAAAATATATATAAAAGCTATATCGAAATTTCAGTACGTTGAGCAAAATTTTCTTTCAATCGGCCTAATTTTGGGTCTTTGAGGAACCACTTACTTTAAAATGGACGAAACTATATATGGGAGCTATATCTAAATCTGGACCGATTTTCAGGAAACTTAACACACATCATTCTAGACCTATTTCAGTAGGCTGTGCCAAATTTCGTGTAAATCGAAAGATATATAGGTACTTTGGTACACCATTTACGTTTAATCGGACGAAAATATTTATGGGAGCTATATCCTAATCTGAACCGATTTTCTCGAAACCTGGCACACATCACATTGTGGACCTAATTCAGTACTCTATGCCAAATTTCGTGCAAATCAAAAGATATATAGGGACTTTGGTACACCATTTACGTTAAATCGGACGAAAATATATATGGGAGCTATATCTAAATCTCAACCGATTTTTTCCAATTTCAATAGGGTTCGTTCTTGGGCCAAATAAGTGACCTGTGCCAAAATGCATCCAATTCGGATCATGATTGTGACCTGTACTTTGTTTACAATTTACCTTCTACAGGCGGACAGGCGTACAGACGGGCGGACATGCATACATCGCCTCAGAAAGTGATTCTATGCATAGTTTAGTCGCCGAAGTTGTTGTCAACGACAATATCGCTTACCCTGTCGTCCAAGTTGTCTTGCATGAATACTGCGACACTTGTGTGAACATTTCGTCAACGATTTCACGTTGTTGTCTGCAAAGTGTCTTCAAGGAATTGCCATTGTCTTACACGATTCGTTGATGTTGTCTGCAAGACACTTTCTACTGGGATGGGCAGAGAGTCTTGGCGAAGGAAAGGGAAGGACGCCTTAAAACTATTTTTTTTTTAATCCACACCTAATGAATTCCTTTAAATTTATTTTAAAAATCTACGCCATACATATTCCTTATTTTTTTATCTGCGCCTCATGAATTCTATAAAAAATATATATACTTTTTTAAATCTACACCTGAAATTCACGCCTTACATATTCCTATTTTTTTTAAGTCCACGCATTCGTTAGACTACAAAAAATATATTTTTTTACTGCAAAAAAAGTAACATGGTCTTTGTTAGATTAACAAAAAATGTTTAAAAATCGACGTCTTCGTTAGAACACAGCAAGTTTTTATTTTTATAAAAAAATCCATGCCATCGTTAGACTACAACAAATATTTTTTAAACCAGTGAGCAGAGCAGTATAGTTGGACGGAGCCGACCATACAATACCCTACACAACTACCACGAAACTCTAACATTCTGCGGATTTTTATTCCGAGTGTGGGCAATATTTCGTGATAGTTGCACCCTCTTGCCCGATTAGAGATCAACAGCAAAAAATATATAGAAACTAAGTATTCGTTTCACTTCATCCCAAAATTAGTATCTGATCATCATCGAAAATTATAGGCGTTGTTCTTGACCATAGCTGGAACCTCATGGAACATTTCAAAACGATCACCGCTAAGTCCGCCCTGCAGTGTGATAATGGTTTACTAAATAATATATGAATACGTAAGCTCCTGAAAATATTTACGTGTAACTCCCACATCAGAGTACATAAGGCAATCTAATTGGTATCAATTTAAAGGCCAACCACTCCTCTTGGATATACTATCAACTTATCGGGTCTATGCCCTTCAAGAGTAACTATATACGCTATAGAATACAAATTTTGTAATTTTTCACACAAAAGTCTGGATCCATTTGACCCCCTAAATATTGACTGATCTTTATGAAAACAGGCATGCTTATTCTTTGGCCCGATCACCTTCTCCATGTAAAAATTCGCGATGTTTGGGCCATAATTGCGGCCTCTGGAGAAATCAGAAAATCAGACAAAAATAAAGTTTTTGGTCCATTTCATCCCCTAAATATTATCCGATCTTTACCAAAAACAATAGGGGTCTTCATTGGGCCGAACCCATCCTACATACATACATACGTGAAGACTGGTCCATAACTGTGGCCTGTATCGTTTTTACAAATTATAATAGACAGATTATAATAGACAGACGGACGGACGGACACACATGTCTAGATCGACTCAGCTAGTCGAGATATGAAGATCTGTATACTTAAAGGTGGGTCTAGGACCAATATTTCGCGGTGTTACAAACTCTAGGGGTTGCACAAAGCTATAATACCCTGACAACATAGTTGTGTAGGGTATAAAAATCCACAACTTCGTCAGACTACAAAAAATATAAATGAATTTAAAAATAAAACAAAAAATATTTTTAAGGAATATATGAGGCGTGGATTTTTTACAAAATATTTTTCAAGGAATATATGAGGATATATTCCTTGAAAGAAAATATATATATATATATATATATATTTTTAAATTTACACCTCATACATTCCTTGAAAAAATATTTTTTTTCTTTAAATCAACACTTCATATACATCTTGAGAAAATATTTTGTAAAAAATCCACGCCTCACATACTCCTAACGAAAGCTTTAGACTACAAAAAAATATTTTTCAAAAATCTATGTCTTAGCCAGGCTTAAATAACTTGTTGTCATAAACGCATTTAGATACTTCAAAAAAGTCGTAGACGAAAATTAACTACAATATCGGATAAGTAAATATCGTTAAACGATTATAAAACGCCATATCATGGCTGAAGATAAATGGTGGCCACTAACAAACATCTTAACAACGTCAAGAAGCTTTAAGTTGCGACTACTGTGGGCAAATGTTGACCAACAGTGGGTATGAGAAAACAATAAAAAAATAAATAAAATAAAAATTTCGCCAAAAATAAAAAAAAAAAAATATTTTTATAAACTGTTGAACAACTATCAATGTTATGGTGGTGGATTTTTTATGATTTTTAAGAGCAATTTGTATACCCCACACAACTATGTTGTCAGGGTATTATAGCTTTGTGCAGCCCCAAGAGTTTGTAACGCCGCGAAGTATTAGTCCTAGACCCACCTTTAAGTATACCGATCGTCATATCTCGACTAGCTGAATCGATGTAGACATGTGTGTCTGTCCGTCCGTTCGTCTGTCCATTATAATTTGTAAACACGATAGAGGCCACAGTTATGGACCAATCTTCACGAAATTTTGCATATAAGATGGGTTCGACCCAATGAAAACCCCTATTGTTTTTGGTAAAAATCGCTTAATATTTAGGGGATGAAATGGACCAAATACGTAATTTTTGTCGGTTTTCAGGTCGATCCGGAGGCCGCAGTTATGGTCCGAACATCGTGAAATTTTACATGGAGAAGGGGATAGGGCCAAAGAATAAGCATTCCTGATTTGATAAAGATCGGTCAATATTTAGCGGGTCAAATGGACCCTGACTTTTTCTGGGAAAAATTACAAAATTTTTATTCTGGGGCGTATATACTTGCTCCTGAAGGACATATACCCTAGAAATTGATAGTATATCATGAGGAGTTGTTGACCTTCAAATTGATAGGTAAAGGTGACTATGTGCATAGTATTACTATTACTCCATTGGAGGACGGAAATGTCGCGTTGATCGTTTTGAAATTGTACATGAAGTTCCGATTATGGTCAAGGACGACGCCTATACTTTTCGATGAAGTCGAGATTTCATTCAGGGGGTGCAATGAACAGAAAACTTTAATTTTGTCAGATTTTCTATTTGCTCTAGAGGCAATTATTATATGCAGCACATCACATATTTTACAAGGTGAAGGGGATCTGACCAAATACTTAGAGCGCCTGTTTAGATGATGATCGGTCAATATCGAGGATCAAATCAACCAAAACCTAAAGTGACAAATTTTTTATTTTATGGCATAAAAAATCACTTGAGGAAAAAAATGTTGGAAAATATGCTAGGCTTAGAAATTGGTGTTGTTGATCTATAATCGGTAAAAAGAGTGCAAATATCAAGAAATATTGCCCAGGCTCGGAATAAAAATCCGCAGAAAGTTAGAGTTCCGTGGTAGTTGTGTAGGGTATCGTATGGTCGGCCCCGTTCGACTATACTGCTCCGCTCACTGGTTTATACATATTTTTTTTTTTGCTCTCAGTTCAAAACACTGTGCAACCATAGTGGCTGACGAAAAACCAAAACTACTTCAAAATAAAATAAATAATTAAATATTTATTTAGTTTTAAAAA